GGTTAGAAGATGAGATGCATATTTCTCGGGCAAAGTGTAGATTGCTTGAGGTCGAAGTGAAAGATGCTCGAAGTCTAGGTAAAGAAAGCTCGAGATCGAGGTGAAGGAGGCTGGGGCTCGAGGTCGGGGTGAAGGAAGCTGGAGCTCGAGGTCGAAGTCGAAGTGAACCTAGAGGCCTCGAGGTTTAGGCTAGGTGTAGAGGTGCTCAAGTAACTTTGGATCTCTTGCATGTGGTGTTTAACTCGGGCACAAGTAATGATGGGCATTTGATTACCTAGGGCTTGGATGACACATGCCATACATCAATTAAGACGACGTTAAGGATTGCCCCTAGGGTTCCAGCAGGCCCTCAAGCTCCCAGTTTAGGTTGTATCCCAAACCCATTTTTGTAATGAAAAAATGGCTATGTAAAAAATTCTAGTTCATAAATGAAATATTTTGCCCGACGATGTTGTTTTTTATGTATTGTTAGTGATTGTCTTGAGGAACACAACGAAAAAAACCCGACGTAATGTAATTAGCAAACCTCAATGCTAAGTGAGCTACCAACCTAATGGGGTTATGATAATGAATCCCAATGTATAAGTTCTTCGTGGATGAGGGTCATGTGATATTTACATGCTCGGGTCAGAGGTTTGAGGTGTGCTTACATGGGGCAAGATTACGAGTTCTTGTTGGGGTCAATGCTTAAGATACTTTCTTGGGACAAGGCTTTGAATGCTTATACCGAACAAGGCTTGAGGTGCCAGCGTAGGGCAAGACTTTGAGTTCTTATGCGTAACAAGGCTTAAGGTGCTCGCTCAAAGCAAGCTTTTGAGTGCTTGCACGAGGGCAAGACTTGATGTATTTGCTCGAGGCAAAGCTTTTATTGCTTGCTCAGGACAAAGCTTTAAGTGCTTGTGCGGGGTAAGACTTGGGGTACTTTTCGGGGCAAAGCTCGAGGTGTATGATCTTAAGGTCATGGTGATGGACCCTAAGGCAAGATCATGTGAGGAGGTCATGGTTCACCCAAGGTCCCCGTACTACTATTGTTAGAAACGAGACAAAGAGCTTGAGTTCGAACATCAACCATAAAATTGACCTCAGGTGTTAACACTTGAGGTGGTTTATGTTGGCTTAACAGTTGAATCAGCATAACAACTTGTTGACGAAGATCTTCGAATGCCCCCAGAGTAACAGCTATAGGTTGGGGTGCTGCTAACTCCGGTGGCACCACTGGAGGGATTGAAGATCCTTGATAAGGGGTAGAATTAGAGCGGATGAACTTACTGGAAGAGGTCATAAACGTGTATTAACCATGGCTTTTGATAGTGTTTCTCTCAGACACACCAATGATTCTACTAAAAATCTGCACCTTTGAATATCCGAGCTTGACGATTTGGAATGAGCATGAGCAGAATCTACAGGACCATAAACAAAAGGCATCTAGGATATGCACTTATGAATACCCAAGCTCAACAACCAAGAATGAGCATGAGCAGAATCTCCAAGACCTGAATAGAGGCCTCTAAGTATGTTCTCGTCGCCTTTTCGATGCTTAAGTTAGTGAAAATAGAAAATATAGGCGTAAGGATGTAAATTGAATGTAAAAACCATACCTGAATAATGACTGAAATATGTGTATTTATAGAGTTAGGCAATGCAATCTTGGTAGGATTGGATCACTTGGATGTCTTATCTGTTTAAGAGTCCTGAAAGATATGGGAGTTCGGTGAAAGCTGGACATTAGAGATTCATTGAAACTTTAGAATAGCTGTAGTTAGAAAATATTAGGACTGTGATGATTGAGTCAATCTAGGTTAGGGAACAGTTAGAGAGAGAAAGGAAAAGGGTAGTAAGGGCACGAGATGTTCAAATGCTTCAAGCCTGAGGCTCAACCCCAAGATGTTTGGCCCAAGAGGAGTGCTCGGGGTTATCATGATCTCGAGTCTGGGATTGTGAGTAGTCAGGCTGTAATGTACACATCAATAAGTTAATTAAACTCTATTTTTAATATTTTATCAACACATCATAAGTAGGGGTGGGCATGGATTTGGTGGGTCGGGTTGGTTTTTACCTCAGCCCAAACCAACCCAATATCATCGACTTGATCAAAATTTAAACCAACATAACCCGTGTACATGTTGAAACCCAACCCAACCCAACCCAACCCAATCAAGTGTCGGGTTAAGTTGGGTTAGTCGGTTTGTGACAACTTGTCAACAAATATTTGAGTCATACAATTGTCTATTATAATAAATTTGAATAGATAAGATTAAATAAAATTATCTATTATCTTATTCAATTCTTATTAGCCGAGCCTAAAAAGAATAAAGTGCAGTTAATATAACATGA